AAAAGTTAATTCCTAGAAGAAATGGGCTTAGGAAACAAGTTACGGAGGTAGAGGAAGGGCTGTTGAGCGTGGGAGTGAGGACGCGGGGGCTGGGAGGGAAGGCGGGGGGGGGGCCCCGCCGAGGGGGGAGCGGTGGGGGGGAGGGGAAGGCACCTCGTGCTCCCTGGAGGGGAGCCCAGCCACCTCTCTGTCCTCGCTCCTCCTCAGGGTCCGGGAACCCCCGAGCGCTGGGCAAAAGGCCTCGAGTAAACATCTTAGGTTTGGGGGCGATGCCGTCTCCCGGGACGACTCGGCTCACCTGGAAGCGATTCGCAGTCACCAACACTGAGCGGCCGCTGCGACCGGCGGCCGTGGAGCATTAGTGGCCGGCGAGTCCGAAGGCAGCCGCTGGCGTCAATGAATTCCATCAAGAGCCAGTGGGCCTGGCCCCAGCCGTGTCTTCCAAACCTGCCCCCGGGGGGCCCGATGGGAGGTGTGGGGCTCCCCAGGGACGGTGTGGGTTAGACCGTCCCTCCCAGGGGCTCCTGATTGGCGGGGACAGGAGTCGGGGGTTGGCTGGGCCCTGGGCATCCAGGCCCACAGAGCATCAGGCCAGCACGCGCTCCAGCCACAGACGGTGAGAGGGCGGGACACGAACTGTCCTTCACGCTTCCTGGGGGGGGGGGGGGCACGTGTCCACTCCCCTGGCAGCGCCCAGCAGGGCCCACGACCGCGTCTCCTTCAGGAGCAAAACGGGAAGACAGGAGGTGCCCGACGCTGCCCCGGGCGGGAGCTCGATGACCTCCACTCGCTGAGTGTGGACGAGGCCGGTGTCGTCACAGCCCACGCTGAGCCCCTTCCCAGCCTCTGGGCGCCCCTCACCTCTCTCAGCCCCGCCCCCCCCCCCGTGGATTTGGGGGTGCACTGTCCTCTGAATGTCCCTTCGGAAGTAAACTCTCAGGGCGAGCCTGTTGTCACTCGGTCATCAGGCAGGGCCAGGTACCGTACACGAATGATTAACGAGTGATGGCTTTCTTGATTGACCATCAGATAATTACATTTGACTAGGACTTCCCCTCTAAGTAGAGGAGCAGAACATAGATACAGAGGAACTAATAGGAGAATAATAGGAATTGACAAGAGGAAGGATACTAGAGATTGCGGTGACATAGAAATCTTTGATTATATATTAGGGGTGTGGTATCAGAGCTGACGAAATCGTCTTGTCTGTTTTTTATAGCTATTTAGATACGC